GACGAGAACGGTATTTTGATGGACTATCAGTAGACGGAACTTCAAAAGAAAAGTTCCCTCCAGTTTTCGCTGCCCTTGTCCACCGCTTCAAAATCAAACTGCTAGGAATGTGCTGGAACTTCAGATTGCATGTTGTAGACCACAACATATCATATCCCTTAATTTGATGCTTACAGATCATACCACTTGACTCCCACTTACGGCACGAACACTTGATTTCACCGGTTTCAAAATCAACCTTCAACACCCTACTATCCAACCTTGTAAGGTCATCCTCCAATATGAAGACATCAAACAGTCCTACACCTTCTGGTTCTATCTCCGTATTGGAAAAAATATTATACGCAAGAGATTCCTTGTACTGATCCAGGAAAAACTTGAATATCTTCGGCGTATACACATTGGCAACTTGCTTCACAATAGGGCTAGTAGAAAACCGAGAATCAGCCAACCTAGATAAGGCGTAGTACTCTTCTTGTTCTTCAGCATCCCTCTTATTATCAATCATCCTCTCAAAGTGCACAAAGAACCTACTAACGCTAAACTCTGACTGCAAGTAATGTCGAATATTACTATTGCAGCACTCACTTAGCTGGGTACTCTTCATTCCCGCACCAAAATGACAATTCACCCAGGCTGAAGACCACTTCGTCCTGACTTTGTAAATGCCCTGTAACCAACTGTGTCCCAAAGGTCCCTTCCCAGGAAAACACTTCTCAATCATCTTCTTCCAATTATACTCAAAATCATCCTCATCATCAGCATTATACATCAAATAACTAAGCTCACGAAGGAAGTCAGAGTCACACAAACTTCCCAGATTAACAACTGCATTCTGAGCAATATGCCATGTACACAACCCATGAAAACAATCTGGGAAAACAGACCTTATACCAGCAGCAATTGCAGCAGCCTGGTCAGTAAACATTGATAACGGTCTCACACCTCCCATGCATTTCAAAAACTGATCGAAAAGCCATTCAAATGTTGCCGTTGTTTCATCATATAGAAGAGCAGCCGCAAAGACAGTCAGTTGGTGATGATTGTTGAAACCAACAAACAAAGCTACAAAAACATAACAAAAATGTGAGTAAAAACAATTCTACCAACACATACCATGTGGTAAAAGGTACGAATAACAATAATACCAACCCATACCATATGCTAAAGACTCATACCATGTGGTAAAGACTTCTAAGAACAAAAAAAACCTTGTTACCAACCCATACCATATGGTAAAAGACTTTTAAGAACAAAATAACCTTGTTACCAACCCATACCATATGGTAAAAGACTTTTAAGAACAAAAACACAATGCATACCAGCCCATACCATATAGTACAAACTTCTAACAACCCAAAAAACACCTCAAATAACCTTGTTACCAACACATACCATATGGTAAAATACTTTTAAGAACAAAAAAGCAATCCATACCAACCCATACCATATGGTACAGACTTGTAAGAACAAAAAAAAAAACATGATACATAATGATAATAATAATAATCATACAAACTAACAAAGACAATAATAAACAACAAACTAGAAAACATACCTAGTGGCCGATACTCTTTGTTAGTCCGGTAAGTAGTATCAAAACTAATTGAATCACCAAAATAATGATAATCCATCCTCATCTTCCCATCTGCCCAAAAAATACTAGCAATGTTCTCTTCAACATCAACCTCCACCTCATGAAAGAACCCAGGATCCAGCTGTGCTTGACGTCTAAAGTATTCAAGCAATGCAGTCGCATCACCATACTCCATTGATAACGTCCTAACCGTTCGCAGATGATTCTTCATATCATTCTTTGTGAACCCAACAAACTTCCGACCACCACCAGCCCTACTAATTGCATTATACGAAGAAGTCACACCAATACCAGCAGCATCATTCACCTCTGCCAACATCTTATACACAGGAGCCATTCGTCTGCTGGATCTCACATAGTGACGCAGAGACTCAGGAATCATGTCATGGTTGTGCACATTACACCAACGATAGATCTTGTAGCATTTAAACTCTTTAAACCACCTCAGTCGTATATAAGCACCATTACATCCACCCCTGAGTTCTGGAACATTACGAACACGAACTGTCGTATCAACAACACCTGCATTATCAGGGTTATTCTCGCTACCTCTTTTCCAACCTTACTTATTGCAACAATACTTGATATAATATACAGCTGAAGAACCACCATTGAGCTTCGGACACGCTGATTGGTTATAAATCCTCACACCAAAACCTTCATGATTCCCATAATCAACATAAAAATTATATGCATCATCTGGTGTATTGAACTCTAAGTCCTTCCAAGAATCACGAACAGTAGGATCTATACCATTGAAACCTACAAACATTATGAAACAACATATTAAATGGATTCCACACCACAACAGTATGAAATCTCAATGTATACCAATAATTACAGCCATGATACAAGAGTTACCACCATGGTATGGCATGGTAAAATCAAATTACCACACTATACCATATGGTATGGCATGGTAAAATCAAATTACCACACTATACCATTTGGTATGGCATGGTAAAATCAATTATCACACAGAACCCTCACATTTAACTTCATAATTACCACATTTTACCACATGGTAATGTACTGTAAAATCAATTACCACATGATAAGGCATGGTAAAATCAAATTACCACACTATACCATATGGTATGGCATGGTAAAATCAATTATCACACAGGATCCTCACATTTAACTTCCTAATTACCACATTTTACCACATGGTAATGTACTGTAAAATCAATTACCACATGATAAGGCATGGTAAAATCAAATTACCACACTATACCATATGGTATGGCATGGTAAAATCAATTATCACACAGAACCATCACATTTAACTTCCTAATTACCACATTTTACCACATGGTAATGTACTGTAAAATCAATTACCACATGATAAGGCATGGTAAAATCAAATTACGACACTATACAAACTTCAATAAACAAACAAATTTGTATATCTTACCTCCTGATTCACCAGAGTTAGCTGAATGATCAAATCCAAGATCGATAGATGAAGAAGCAATTCCAACAGCACTAGATGAAGAACCAGATCCTACAACGCTGGTTGAAGAACCAGATCTATCAATTGGAACAACATCGCCACAATTTACGTAACTCATCTCACCAGAATACTACAAAAACACCAAAACACAAAGAACATAACACATGAACAAGCTCGATTAGCTAAACATAAACAAGCTCGACTAGCAGCAATGAAAAACCTCCAACGAAACCAGAGATCAACAGAAAACTCGATTAGCTAAACAGGAAGAATAAAAAAAACTAATATCTAACCTCGTCGTCGATCAATTATGGAGAATCACAAAAGATTCGCCGTCCCCTGTTTCGCAGTAGCTGCTCGCAGTTTCTCTCTACAAAAACCGAATCCAACTCGCGCACACGTCGATCGATTATGGAGAATCAGAAAGCTCGATTCGAAGCTGCTGTTCGCAGTTTCTATCGCCGTCGATCAACCATGGAGAATCGCCGTCCTTGTTTCTCAGCTGCTGCTCCCCTGCTCGCAATTTCTCTCTCCAAAATCCGAATCCAACTCGCGCACACGTCGATCAATTATGGAGACCGAGAATCAGAAAGCTCGATTCGAAGCTGCTGCTCGCAGTTTCTATCGCCGTCGATCAACCATGGAGAATCGCCGTCCTTGTTTCTCAGCTGCTGCTCCCCTGCTCGTAGTTGAGACTCTCCAAAATCCGAATCCAACTCGCGCACAGAAAGATTCGCAACGGACAAAAGGGGAAACTCATTAATTCAAATAACGGACAAAAATGCCCCTGACCATCCCGCTTCAATGACAGCCACACGATCCGTCCGCCCCAGATCAACGGTTCCTAGGTGGTTACTCACGGGTGAGTAACAAAGGGTTACTCACCCTATCCTAAGCCGTCCCCAATTCACTAAATGGGGAAACCCTAAATTAAATCAAAAGCTACCACCGCCTCCCAAAATCCCTAGCGAGAAGAAGCCAAAAACCACCGGGTCGCCATCATTCGCCGCGGTGCTTTCCTCTGTCGAACTAGGGGCCGGAAAGGAAGGATGGCTGGTGGACAATCCCAACCTTCTCTGCGCACTTGACAAGTGATCAATTGCCCTCGCCAACAAGTTTCTCGTCATGATTACAGGATGGGATGGCGGCCATGGTTTCAAGATCCGCTCGGATTTTTTCCCGATCGAGTCGGAGCACATCACTGCAATGGAGTGGCTGGTTTTTTATGAGGTTCGAGCCATTGCAGTGGGAATTCCCGGTTTTGGGATGACGTTTCAAGAAAGAGAGACCAAGAGGACCAAGGGAGCTCTTGCAAAGCTTTACCTTATCAATTATGGAGCGTTAATAAGCATGGATTGTGTATTGATGCTGCCATGGTGTACGTGAGCAAGATGGTGAAGGATGAGATTGAAGGTGTCGGGGGAGCTTGTATCTCTAATCCAATGGGTATAAAGGTAAGACATGACTTCAATCTCTCTAATTGAGGATGATCATTGCCATAATGTTCGTTTGGCATGTAGTGATTCATCCATGCATGAATTCACGTGGGGCAAGCTTCATAATGATGGGAAAAACGAATTGGAAGGGGGAAGGTGAAAGCATAAGAGGGAAATCGAGGTTTTAGAGTGCACAAGGTTCATGATGACGATGCTCGGCGTTGCAAGAGCAGTGGTTTACGTAAGTCAATATTGATTCAAGTCAATCAACTTGAAGTCAAGGTGAGTGTAAAGGGGGTAAATTCTATGCCTTACGTTTTTTTCAAGTATTTACCTTGAGTATTTTTAAGTGTCGATTTACGTTATGTATGTGCAGTATTTGATTCTTGGTTGAGATTGCATGATTATGTTTGATGGTATGTGCTTTGGGTGAATTATGACTTGAAGTGAATGGTTATTATTTACTTTGAAATTGTCCTGAATATAGATTATGGTTAAAGTTTAAGAAACGAGTTCTTTTTCAAAAGTAACTCACCTTCAAGAAGGTGAAGTCATTTTTAGTGTTTTTAGTCACTAGCGCCAGTCCGTTGCCTTTTGAGACATTTTGAGATAGAGCAGCAGTTATGCTCTTGAGACTTTTAAGATGGGCATCAGTTATGCCCTTGAGAATCGTGGTGAAGAGCCACCACGATAAGTTTAAGATGTTAGAGGGATGAATCGTTACGACTTCCCTAACTAAGTTTAAGTTTAAGGAAAGCCTTGATGGCTTCTCATACGTATGAGTTGGCAACCGAACTAGCTAGTGGGGGATCCCCGTTTCAGTCAAGTATTTTAAGTCAAGTTTTGAGATTTAAGAGTGGAGTAACAGTAACTCCCTTACAGTTTTAAGAGTTAAGCTTTTTAGAAGTGGAAGTACAAAACAACTACCACTCAGTTAAGAAAAGAGATCAAGTATTAGAAGTATTTAAACGTAAGGACTGGAGATTAGAATGAGAATTTAAAGTTTGGGTTTAATTTGCCCACATGTTAGGGCTTTGCTAGTAAAAGTGTGTGTTTTCAGTATTTTATTTATGAAAATTTTTCCCGCTGAAATTTAAGATTTGAGTATTTTGTTTTTCAAAGGAATTTTAGTAAAAGTAGTACCCGACCGGGTTAGGGTGTTACAATGAGGAGCATGGAAGGATGTGCCCGATCAAATTTCGCGGATGAAATTTTTATGAGGGTGGAGGAAATGTTACATCCCGCTCTTCCCAAAAGTCAAAATGACTATTATAACCTTGGTTAAATTTGTCAAATTCTAATTTAATATCCATGAGGTCTAAAAATGCAAACTCTCGGTTCAAACGGTGTCGAGTTTTGACATAAATCGAGTAAGTTACGAGTTTCGGATTAAACTCACCCGTGGTCTATGAGATGCCCAAGTCATCCTTCGAGTTAATCAAAACCCTGCCCAACCCTAATCTCAAATCCCATCGAGAACATGGTTCTATCAGTGCTAAAGCGGCCACTCTCGACTCTCCCACCGCCTACGCAACTATTCTCAGGTTTACTATGAGAACTGCCTGCTTAAGCAAGCAAGAGGGCGCGTCGAGAGTGGAATTACGGCGGAGTCCAATACTGTTCTTCTCCCACTACGCCTGCCTACTACAAGACCTTTGCAACGACACCTGCCCACCATGGTACTACGACACCTGCCTACTACGAGAGCTAAGCAAGGCACCAGCACAGGGGAAGTCGAGGGCGGAATAGCAAGACGGAGGGAAAGCCTCGGCAGCCGAGCAGGAGGGACCCAGCTGCCGGCCACTCCCTCGACTCGTTGTTTCACCCTTCTCTACTACGAGACCAGGTTGATTAACCTAGCTGGTGCCGAAGCAAGCTGGACACGACTGGGGCGGGGAAGAAGGTGGAGGATAATCATCGATGGAGTCCCTCCCTGCCATTGACGTGCGATGGTGGACCCAGATCATGTCCTTGCCAATCCTACTACGAGAGGTGCTTGTGTAGCAGCTCAAGCAAGCTCGTCTTATGGTTATTGGTATGGCTAGTAAGCATCGACAACGGGCTGTTCTCTCAAGCAAGCTCGTCTTTTTGTTATTGCCATCGCTCCAGGACGAACGTCTAAAGCAAGCTGGTCCATTTAATTCCATTTTGTCAAGCAAGCTGCTCCATTTAAGCAAGTACGAGTCTAATAGGGTTGGAAGCGAGTATTTGAAGCAAAATCAGAGCCAGTTCTGACGGAAGTAAGGTGAGTGTAAAGGGGGTAAATTCTACACCTTACAGTTTTTCAAATATTTGTGTTGAGTATTTTCAAGTACTGATTTACTTGATGTATGTGCAGTGTTTGATTCATGTTTGAGATTGCATGATTATGTTTGATAGTATGTGCTTTGGTTGAGCTATGATTTGAAGTGAAGGTGTATGAGTTTATCTCTTACTTTGAAGTTTATGTTTAGGAGTGATTATTAAAGCTTAAGAACAATCCATTTTAAGAAATACTAGACCTTCGAAGAAGGTGGAATCGTTTTATGTGTTTTTAGTCAGTAGCGCCAGTCCGTTGCCATTTGAGATTTTCAGATAGAGCAGCAGTTATGCTCTTGAGATCTTTGAGACACATCAGCAGTTATGCTCTTGAGATATTTAAGTTGAGCAACAGTTATGCTCTTGAGATTTTTAAGAAGAGCAGTAGTTATGCTCTTAAGTTTAAGGAAAGCCTGGATGGTTTCTCATATATATGAGTTGGCAACCGGACTAGCTAGTGAGGGATCCCCGTGTCAGTCACGAATTTAAGTTGAGATTTGAGCTTTAAGAATACTGTTTTAAGTAGGGCTGGCTATTTGGTCTAGACTGTTTGGTTTTACCCGAAACCGGACCGTATAACCCGGACCAGGACCGGAGTGGGACCGGATAACAAACAATCCAATCTCATATTCGAGCTTAGATTTGAGGTAAAAACCCGGATAAAGACCTAAGAGACCTCCAACACCTAAAATCAAGATCAAATTGGGACCGGACCGGATCAAGACTGGACTGTATCCAATCCAATCTTTGGTCCTTATATTCCCAAGAAGACCGGACTGGGACCGGATCAATTTGGTCCAATTTAACTGGACCGGACTGTATAGTCACCCCTAGTTTTAAGAGTTAAGATTTTTAATAGTGGAGGTACAGAACAACTTCCACTAAGTTAAGTAAAGTGATCAAGTATTAATAAGATGTTAAATGTAAGGGCGTAGACTGACCCGATCTCACTCACCAGTTCGAAGAGCTAGAGGAGCTAGAGGTGAGCAGCGAGTTCGAGGGCAACCAGGTAGAGGAGAGCCATATAAGCGTCACGAAGGATGCTTAGTCAAGGTTTTCAGTAGCAACAACAATAAAGATTATTAGTTATTTACATTTATGATTATGAGTATAGACTGGAGATCATTTTTGAGATTTTAAGTATTGAGTTTGCCCATTTGTTAGGGCGTTTCTTTGAACTACAAGTGTGTGTTTTCAGTATTTTATTTAGTAAAATTTTCTCAACTGCAATTTAAGATTTGAGTATTTTATTTATCAATGGCATTTTAGTAAAAGTAGTACCCGGCCGGGTTAGGGTGTTAAAATGCCACCGAGAGTGGATCCGCCACGATCTCGAGGTGAGGCATGTCGCCTCCCAATTTACTCTCCATGGGGTGGCCTTCTTGGCCGATGACTTTTGCTTTGCCATTTTCCGTCCACCGGGCATTAACATGACTTATCCTTTCTCTCCCTGCTCTTTTCTTTCCTTCTTTGGGCGAGATGCCCTCTTTGCTTTCCTGGTTCACATCATCAAAAGAAACAACATTAATAGTGGGGTTCACCTTGCAAGGCTCTCCTCCACTTGCATTCATATCACTCGGTTTGACTTTCTTCACATCCTCACTCCTAGGCTTAGGTTCAATTCCAAGAGTAATTCTCTCCTCACCATCCCTCAGAATCAAAGTTCCCTCATTTACATCAATTAATGCATTGGCGGTGGCAAGGAAAAGGCATCATAGTATGAGTGGCATCTTAGAATCCTCACTTATATCCAGGATCACAAATTCCATCGGATAATAGATTTTTCCCACTCATACTAGCACGTCCTCCACAATTCCCCTAGGACTAATGACAGAGCGATCGGCCAATGTGACACTAAGCCTTGTAGTCTTTAGTTCACCTATGTATAGCCTCTTACAAAGCTTAAATGGCATCACATTTATGCTCGTCCCTAAGTCCGCCAAGGAGTTTTCTATGTGATGAGTACTGATGCAAAGAGGTATGGTGACTCTACCTGGATCGGGTTGCTTCTTGGGCAACCTATTGAGGATGAAGGCTGAGCACTCCTCGCCTAGGGTGACATTGGAGAGGTCTTCAAACTTTGGATTCTTGGGGAGAAACCCCATGAGGTATTTTGAATACCTTGGCATGTGGGTCATTACTTCCAGGAAGGGAATGTTGAAGTGGAGCTTTCGGAGATCTCCATGAAACATCCACATTCCGCTTCCAATCATTCCTTCTAAACCCTCGTGGGGAAAGGTAGGGGTGGCGTGTACTCAGCCACAGGTGGTGGCATTGGCGATGCCTTCCTTGCCACTCCTCTCTTTTCTCCCGAGGTTTCCTCTTCTTCACCCTCGCGTAGAGGTTCTTCCTTCTCATTCACTTCTTTGACAACTACCTCCAGAGTCGCCTTCCCACTTCTCAAATGAATTGCAGTCACCCCCGGCATGATCCTTGGGGTTGTTAATGGTTTGAGAGGGTAGGGCTCCCTTTGGTTTCTCGGTGATGATCCCGGCAAGATTGCCGAATTGCACTTCCAAGTTTTGGAGACTTGCTTCATGACTTCGGAGTCCCGCCTCAGCCGAGGTAATCTTGGAGGTTTCCAAATCTAGGAATTGCTCAATCTTCTCGAACTGCTGAGAGCTTGTACTCACGAAGGTGGTCACGACTTCTTCAAGTTTATAGAACTTGTCGACTTGTTGTTGTTGTTGAAACCCTTGACCACCTTGTGCTTGGTATGGTTGTTGGAATTTCGAGTTTTGGAATTGATGCATTTGTTGAATGAAAGTTGGCCAAGGTTGATAGTTGCCTATTGGACCTTAGAAACCGGGAGGTCTTGGATTGGTAGGGGAAGACCAAGTGAAGTTTGGATTATTGCGCCAGCCGAGCTTGTAGGTGTTTCTATAAGGGTTGTTCCCTCTAGCATTGGCAATGAAACTCACTTGCTCCTCGGGGGTACTCTGCTCCTTCATCGCTTGGCAATCCAAAATTTCATGATTAGTGCTTCAACACCAATCACAAGACATCACCGCTCTCTTCCTTTGCTTCTTGTCCTCAAGGATCACCTCGATCAACTTGTCAAGCTTCGCTTCATGTGTTGCACTTGCTCCCACACTTCGCACTCCTCATTCGGTGCTTCTCTTCCCACTTCTTGGCAAGCCCCAATCATATCCTTTGAGAGCTATATCTTTTTGCAACTGGGTCACTTGAGGTGGGGTCATGTTCATCAACTTCCCTTAGCAAAGAGAGTCGATGAGAATCTTATCATCTTGAATAAGACATCCATAGAAAGTCTCAATCCTAAATTTCTCCTCGAATCCATGGTGAGGGCATTGAAGGAAGTAGTCGGAGAATCTTTCCCATGCATTCCTCAACGTCTCATCCTCCTCTTGCTCAAAGTGAGTGATCTTCTTCCTCCACTCAGCCTTCTTGGAAGGAGGACAATATCGGGTCATGAACTTGTTGAATAAATCATTCCAAGAGGTGATGGATTGAGTCGGAATGCTGTTGAGTCATCAAAGAGCCTTCTCCGCCAAAGAATAGGGGAATATCCTTAGTTTGAAAGCCTCCTCGGGGACGCCATTTATCTTCAAGCTTCCCGCTAGCTCAAGAAACCTTTGGACATGCTCTTGTGGTGATTCATTGGCTCTTCCTTGGATCTCGCTTCCACATTTTGGTTTTGAAGTAGATTAGCCCCTCGATGTTGATTCCCAGCCATCTCAACTTCAACTTATCCTTCAATTCCTTCAAATCCGGGACCAACTTGTTGTCCCCTCTTCAATTCTCCTTCTTGCCTCCCCTAGCTCCCTCTCTCGAGTTAAAAGTCGAGATTCTGGTTGATGTCCTCGTCCATTGGTGTTAAAGGCATCGGATTTCTCCGGGTCATGCACCTCCATACACACACTTAAAGAAGCTATCAGGCAACGGCGCCAAAAATTTGACTCGCTCTGACTGGCACAATTAAATCCCACCTAAGGTCCAAGTATAAACCTTAGATGAGTGCTACTTCGTTGGTTTGAAACATTATATAGCGGATGGTTTTGGTGAAAACAAAAATCTAAAGCTAAAGTTCTTGCAAAGAGAAATGGTTTTGACTCTAATTGAGAAGGCTTCATGACACGCTACGACACACCACCAAACTGCGACCAAGTGTAATCGCAGAATGGTAATGCAGTATAGTGGAATCAAGTAATAAATGTCAATCAGGGCCTAGATGTAATTTCTACTCCGTGATTATCTATTATCTAGCGAGACTAAGTGAATGTAGGTGAGTTCAAAGTAAAGTAGAAAGAAAATAGTAAATTTTCTGGTTTCCTGAAGCAAGAGAAGAGTCACTCGGGAATTGTCCACCTAGCTCCTTAGTTAGGTCTAAGTTGTAATTTCCTTTGGTTGATTTATTATTGATTAAAATGCGGAAGATCAGACAGTAGTTTGGAATCTCTTAAGTTGACCCAGCCCTCTTAGAAAGACTAACCGGCAAACGACTACTCTTCACTGGGATAGAAAGCTAAGGCAATTAACATAGAACTCCACTACTGGAATTGGATTCCAGTACAAACCAATGAATCTACTAACTCTCGTATAATCAATCCACTCCTATCAATTGAAGAAGCTCTAACAACCTAATCAGATTCTATCTATCCCAGGTTGCAGAAGAAATTAAAAGAAGTTGATCAGGATTCAATTGACTCAATAAACACACTTCAATAGATTATAATCAATCAGTATCTCAATCCAAAAGTCATTACAACTCAAAACCCTAACACATGGAACTAGGGTTCTTCATACCCAAGAGAGAGAAAGGTCTACTCCATATAGAGAGAGAGAGGAAAGCAGAAATCAAAGTAGTCATACTCATAAAGATGAGAATAATCTGCTCTAGGATGTCAATCTTCACTCCTAACGATGCAATCTGGGCTTCAATGGTGAGAAATCCACTCCAAATGGCTCTTAGGGTTTGTTCTTCGCAATTTCTCTCTCTAAAACTCTGTTTTTGCTCCAAAAAGTCGAATCCCCCTCCTTTGGCTCGAATCTGCCTCTTTCAACCCAATTCTGGGCGAATTACGAGCAGAAGCACGGTCGTGCTTACTCCCTTGACCGTGCTTTGCCCAAAACGTGCGTTTCACTTAGTGCAAAACGGGAGAAACACAGTCAAGTCTGGGTAAAGCACTGGCGGTATTTTCCAAAGTACGGTCGTGCTTTTCTCCTTGGCTTCCCGTATTTTGGTTTTCTTCAGCACTCTTCATGGTTGGCTCTTGTCAATAAAAGCACTGGCAAGATGATGTGCTTTTCTCATAGCATGCTCGTATTTTGTCTCGAGAATCGCCAAATGATCTCCAAACGACCTAAAACTTGCGCCTAAGCCTTCGTACACCCGTTAGGACCTGAAATATGACAAATAGCACAACCTAGCATAAAATAGGCCAAGGAGCAACCAAATCGAGCCAAAATGGTTAAGATATAAGGGTGCAAACATGTACAAATATGACATTATCAAATTCCGTCACACTTAAGCATTTGCTTGTCCCCAAGCAAACCAAGTCAAATACAGGGTAAGCTCAAAACATTTTAATCATGCAACCTTGGGGACATATCATATAGGGGCCAAACACGTTTATCATAATGGCTTTTCGGCATCAATACATGAACAACTCAACAACAACCTAGACAACTGCCACAAATGACATTCGAGTGAAGCAAAATCGAGTAAAGGAAGAGTGTCCCTTTTGTTCACCAACCAAACTAGACTTGACTCAACCACTTATCCAAGATAATCACCTCATGCATAAAACTCAAGACATCAGAATCAAGACCGAGAAATCTAAGTCCTCACCGAGGTAAAGAATGTAAATAATATGAGGAAATGAATCGCTCACTCTCGACCAGTGGGGTCAGGACAATTTGATGCGAAAAATGCGTATGCTTATTTTCTCAATCCTAACGTCTCTTCAGCATGATGGCAGCCTCTAAATGATAGAGTTCACATATCGAGTGTCACCACTAACTAGTCAGGAGGTCTTAGACACGGGTTCAGATGACTGGATAGGGTCTTGGACATGGGAAAAAGGCCTTTAGGTGGTGGAAGAATTTGTAACACAAGGTTCCACACTTC